CTTGCTCTGTTAAGCAAATTAATAGTAAAAATGGAAATGTTAGCCTGTTTTAATAGGAGAGACCTTAGCGTCACTGTTTGCCTGCAGCAATGAATGAATAATTATAGCTTTTATAAAAAGAATTGCTCTGCCCTTGTGTATAATTGAAAACATTAAGTCACATTTTTAAAAATATGCATTTTCATTAATTCTGATAATATTTTTTTCTCAGAGAAGAAAATTGGGTAGCTTTGCTATGTTTAGAAACCCTGAAGCTACCTTGCTGGTGGGAATGTAAATTGGTTAGCCCCTAAGGAGGCAGTTTGACAGAATGTTCTAGCAAGTGCACACACGTTTTGACCTATTAATTATGCTCCTTGGAATTTACTCCGTAACTATGCTCACATGTGGGCAAAATGGCTCGCGCGCAAGGCAGCATTGTTTGTAAAGGCAAATGATTGGAAACAACCCAAGTGGTCATCAGTAGGGACTGGTTGACTATATTATGCTCCATCATGCACTGGAAAACTCTAAAGTCGTGAAAAAGAATAAGAAAGTACTGTACTGATATGTAACAGTCTCTAAGATATATTAGGTGAACAAAAACAAGACCAGAGTATATGTATGTATGTATATGTATGTTTATATGTATGTTTAAAAAAAAGATGGGGCAGAAATGTGTATTATGTGTAAAATAGGTCTGAAAGTAAGTTAATAACATTGGTTGGTTGTCAGTGGGGTGGAGGACTGGGTAGCTGGAAGTCAGGGATGTAAAGCTGTGTGATTGGGTTGGCAGGGGAATAAGGGGAATGATCTTGAAGCCATCAGCTGTAGGGTGGGGATGGAGAGGCAGAAAGATAGAAAGAAGGAAAGAAAAAGAGGTTCAGAAAGAAAGTAGAAATGAAAAAGAGAAAAAGGTAAATGGATAGAAACTAGGTCAAAACAAGTGGCTGGGCCTCGGTGTCCCCACCCATTTAAAATGTTAAATGAATACGTGCAACAAATATTTATTGACCACCTACTCTGCCTGAACAAGATGGACTCTGGCCTGCCTCCTGTTCTCCCTCAGTCACCGTGCCCTCGGCGCACCCTGTACAGATTTCCCTCCGTTGTCTAATATAGCCAAAATGCCACTGGTGGTCTGTGTTTGCCCAGGGCCTAGCACAGCGCCCAGCTCTCAGAGTGGGGCTTAGTGAGCTGTTACCAGAGATAAAGCGGATGGGGAAGAGGCTACAATGCCCAACAAAGACAGAGTAACTGCCGGAGCCTATTTGCTTATTCTATCTGGTGGCTTCACTTAAGATCCAGACCTCACAGTTTAGCACTTGAATCACTGTTCAGCATTTTTTATTTTACTTATTACCTAACAACATTATAGAATCTCTAGGATAAAGACTTAATATAAATTTGGGATGATTATTGATTGAGGAGAGAGAGAGAGAGAGACCAGAAGAGATAAGTTAAGTGCTAAAAGTATTAACGTGTTAGATCTGTCTCTGTTAATCAGTTTGAAAAGTTGGACATAAGATTATAAATGAAATTTGTTTATATGATTTTGTTTCCTTAAAGGAAAGATGGGACAAGAGAGAAATAGCAAAGACTCTGTGTCTTTGGGAATACTGTTCACTGCAGTTTGGGGGTAAAGTTTTTCAAGTGTTTGAAAGAGGGAAGTCCTAAACCAGTGGGTTATTCCACCTGTTCTTCCAGGACAGATGGCTTTGAATAATGAAATGTTTGCCAGGCAATTCAGGCAAAACAAACATTTGGAGCAAAAGTTTGGAGGTATGAATGAACTTGGTCTGCCCTGCAAGCTAGAGGTCAAATCTGGCCAAAGCAGTGAGTCCAGGGGTGGAGCTAAGGAAGTTGAGAGGGGAGAGGTAGAAGGGGTGGCCAGACTCCGGGAAGGGAATGGCCCTGTGTGATGGGTAAAGGAGAAGGTGACAGTCTCTGAGCCATTGTGTTTCAAAGTTTTCTGTCAGGTGAAGGCAGGAAAGAATTATGCACACTCTGGAAGGAGCGGGGGAAGGAGAGTTAGTTCTAAGCCTCACTTTTTTTTACTTCTTTATCTACGCCTATGCAGATTTTGTATTCTGCTGCAGTGTGAGTGCTGTGATGTGAAAGAGATGTTTCAAATTACTTTCCCTTTCATAAATGTCATGTTACTTATACTTTCTTGAACCTTGGGGTGATGGCTGTAGGCAATAAGGAGCTGGTGAAGTATTTTCAACGAGAGTAAGACCATTATATTGGAGTCCTGTGGAAGGACAGATGGGGAGAAAAGAATGGCTCTTACCAGGAACTTGAGCTGCCTTACCTCACAGTGACCCTCCGCAGTGAGTAGAGGATGAGGAAATAAAAGATTGCACCATCAGTGCATGGTGGAGACAGGAATTTAATCCTGAGCTTCTGATGTTAGGGCCATTCACTCCACCGCCTCCAGGAGGCAGAAAGCCAGAGGCCCTTGCTATAGTCCAGGTGACAGATGATGAGAACCTGACCAGGGCAGAGGTGAGAAAGAGGCAGGGAAAGAATGAACTGGAGAGAGATTGAAGAACATTTCAGTGACTTCCTGGATGTGTTTGGGAGCAGAAAAAGGAAAGGTAATTCCAGGTTCCCCGGGCAGACAATATTTACTATTAACCTGTGATTGAATAAGAAAACTAGACTGCAGAAGCAAAGTCGTGGTGTATAGTGCCCAGAATAGACATTATGAGTGGGTCTGAGAACCTCCCAAGACTGCACTGTAACAGCCAAGAAAACAAATGAGCTCAATGGGGCCTGGGAATTGTCTTTTAGGTTTGTTTGAAGAGACTACACCGGAGGGGCAGGAAAGAAGAGAGAGGAATTGAGCTGGCGTATCTCGAGCAGCTTCATGGTCAACACGAAGCCTGGCTTGTTCACAAGACCACCAAGTAAGCGGAGAAAAGGGTAGCAGCCTGCCCCCAATACCTAGTCCTAAAATATAGAAAGTTCAGCATGCAGCTCCATAAGCAGGTTCAGAATGTACTGGAAGTGGTTGGAAATGTGAAACATTCCATTCAGAAGTTTAATTTTGAGTGTAATCTGTATATTCCAAGAGACTTTTTGTTAGATTCTATTTCCCCAGCTTTTTTGTTTTTTAAAGTTCTACTAGGTTGAACATAACATGGTGATTAATGATAACATAGTTGGCTCAGGGTGAAAGGCTAAAAACTTTTAGAGAAATTGTCTATTTACTAAGTTGACATTCCTAGTTTTAGCCTTTCCTCTCTTCAGGACAGGTATGCTGTCCACTTAAAATGTTTGGGGCCCTCACCTTCAGGATTAGTCTGAAGACTAAAAAGGAATTAAAGTCTTTTTCCAGCTAACTTTATTGAATTACTTTTTAAAACTGCTGTTTACATGCCGTTTCATTGAGAAGCCATGTGACTATAGATCTGTTCTCAAAATTATTAACACTTGGTGAGTGTGTGAAGCTTGGCTCAGTGTTCTTTTTTCTGTTCCTTAAATGTTCGTGCTTCTTAAAGGCTCCACTTTGAGGCTCTGCTGAATGTTCCAGTGCTGGTGTTGGATGTCAATGATGATTTTTCTGAAGAAGCAGTCAAACAAGAAGAACTCATGAAAAAGGTGTGGAAGGCCTGAATTCCTGCTTTCTGATGGATTTCCTCTATTGTACTTTTATCTTCACCTCAAACTTCAATATAATGGGTCATGTGGTCTGTGCCTCAGATTGCATTTCACACTCCAAAGCCTGTGGGGCATTGTGCAAGTTGCAAACGTAATCCCTATTTTCTAAAGTATTCTGAGTTAATGATTGTTAAATAATTGATTTGTAATATGTACTTCCCAGCTTACTTCTCTAAGGTCCAGAACAAGGGAAAAGAAACTTCTGGATTCTATTCCCAGCTCTGTCTCTTAATACCATATGGCCCCGGGCAGGTCACATTTCCTCTCCATACCTATTTTCCCTTCCTCACAAAATACTCATGGGCTTGGCTACCTGTGCATTGTGGTGGATTATGGTATAGTCTGCTGAAAATGTGAAATTTAACTTCTGGATTTTCTTTTTCCCACAGGTAAACACCTTTATAAAGAATCTGTAACTAATACCAGGGTGTTCTGGCTGTGATCTGGGCTCTCTGACTTTCCGAAGCTAGAAAAAGACTGAGTCACCTTTCCATCCCCATTCCCATCTCCTTTTACTTCTAGAGTGCTCTGAGACTCCCATGTATGGTTTCTTTTACCCTTAGACTTTGCCGTGGTCTTATTTTGTATCTCAAAGGCTTCTAAAATAAAGTTTATTTGCCTTTTGCTTATTTTGCTAATGCAGTTGTTCATGTATTTCAGCGTGTATCTATCGGTGCCTGCTCTGAACTCTCTTAACTAGTCATTTTCACCTGAGAAGGATTCTTCTTGAATCCTTCACCAAGCAGACTTCCCTGTTGTTCACTTGTTCCCTCTGACATGCCAGGGCAGGAATTGCTCCCAGGACCCTGACCAGGCCCTGCCACATAGGGATGAAGAAGGGAAGTAAATGGCCCAGAAGTGGGTGGGTCCTCAAGTATGAGCCCCTAGAGCTAGGAAATGGAGCCTGAACTCCAGGAAGCTTCTTTATCTCTTTCCACCCAGCACTCTTGGTATGGAGGATGGGGTGGGGATTTAGACCTTTGTCCTAGAACTGAAAACCTGAACAAAAGAAAGAAAGGGAGGGAGGATGAGAACAAATCAGGAGCCCAGAAATTCAGCATCTAACATTTAGGGTTTGGTCATCCTGATACTGTGGCCTGCTCTAAACACCTTACCCAGTGAGTTTCTGGAGAGAATCTGTCTATGCTGGAAAGAAAAATTTTTGTGCTGTACTTCAAGCTTCAAGGACAACTTATTGTTAAGAGAGAAAAATACATGGCTCTCCATTAAAAACGAAGTGCTCCATTGCAAGAAGCCTGCAGGTCCATGAGTCACTGGGAGTGGAATTCCTGCACCGAGCCCTCAACGGTTGTGCAGGCACACAGGAAAAAGAATGAGCTTGGGAGTCAGACTGTCCCAGGAGACAGAAATTGTGTTTTCCTTTATGCTTGGGAAAATGAGTGTGAGATGAGTTTCTAACAAATACGATGTTTTAAGTAACAACACAGCATTTCTTGATTTCTACTTAAAATTTTAATAGCTTTATTGAGATATATTTCGCATACCATATCAGACACCCATTTGACGTATACAATTCAGTGGTTTTTAATATAGCGATAGGGTTGTTCAACCATCACCACAATCAATTCCAAAATGTTTTCATCACCCCAAGAAGGAATGCCATGCTAATTAGTCACTATCGCCATTCACCCCAACAATCCCCATGCACCCCATCCTGCCCTAGGCAACCGCTGATCTACTTTCTGTCTCTATAGATTTGCCTGTTCTAGACAATGTTTCATATAAATGGAATCACATAATATGTGGTCTTTTGTGATTGACTGCTTTCACTTTCCAGGTTTTCAAGATTCATCCATATGAGTACTTCATTCTTTTTTATGGCAAAGTATTTTATGGATATACTGCATTTTGTTTATCCATTCATCCATTGATAGACATGCAGATTCCATTTTTTGGCTGTTATGAATAATACTGCTATGAAAATTCATATACAAGTTGTGTGGATGTGTTTTAATTTCTCTTGGTTATATGTGGAGGCATGGAATTACTAGGTCAAATGGTAACTTCATGTTTAACTTTTTGAGAAACTGCTGGACTTTTCCAAAGTGGCTACACTATTTTACATTCCCCGCCAGCAATGCATGAGGATTCTAATTCCTCCATGTCCTTGCCAACACTAGCTGTCTGTCATTTTGATTATTGCCATCCTAATGGATGTAAAATTGTATCTCATTGTGGTTTTGATTTATATTCCCTAATGTTGAGCATATTTTCATGTGCTTATTGGTCATTCTTATATCTTCTTTGGAAAAAAACATTTACTCAAATCCTTTGTTCGTTTTTCAATTGGCATTTTTATTGAGTTGTAAGAGTACTTGATATATTCTGATACAAGTCCTTATCAGATACATGACTTAATATTTTCTCCCATACCGTATGTTGTATTTTCATCTTGCTAGTATCCTCTGAAGTGCAAAAGTTTTTAATTTTGATGAAGTCAAATATATTTTGTCACTTGTTGTTTGGCATGTCTAAGAAAGTCTTGAATAACCCAAGATCACAAACATCTGCATTTTCTTGTAAGAGTTGTAAGATCATCTCTGTGATCCATCTTGAATTAATTTTTGTGTATGGCGTAAGGAAGGGATTCAATGTTATTCTTTTGTATGTATATATCCAGTAGTCCCAATACCATATGTAGAAAAGATTAATCTTTTCTCCCATTGAATTGCCAGCACTGTGTTGAAAATCTATCCCACTTTTTCTTACATTTGTTTGCTGCTTCAGGCTTTGGACAAGACCAGGGATGAACATGGGGTGTTAGGTGTGTTTTGGAAACTCAATTTTTAGCTTTGAGGGGCCCAAATGATTAATTTCCATTTACATTTCCAGGAACCACTAATGTAGAAATCACCTGTAAACCCAGAGTAAGAGCAGTAGGCCCTTATCCTTCATTCATGTATTTAATTATCAATAAACATTTATGAGTGTCTGCCACATGCTAGAGACCAAGGCGATAACAGTGAACACAACAGAAAGCAGACCTTGTCCTTACCTCGCAGAACTTGACATCTAATGGAGAAAATGATAGACACTGAACAAGTAATTTCATGTGTGGCAAGTGTTTCAAAAGGGGAAGTACAGGTACACTGTGGGGGACTATAACGGAAGAAACCACGTAATCTTGGATGCCCACGCCCTACAAAAGTCACAACTGTTCTAAATTCTGAGGAATGAATGAGGTAGAGAATTGAGGCAGAGGAAAAGGTCATGTGGCAAGGCCTTCATGTGAGAATCAGGCATTAGGCCCAGATTGTCAAAAACAGATGAGGTTGGTGAGTATAAATTAAGAATATATCCTCTCCTTCACATTCTTCACTCGGTCTTAAAGCCTGAAAATATACAAATTCAGTATTTGTTTTCATTTGTGAACATTGCCTTTTAGAATATATTCTTTAAGGAAAGTCAAAGCCATCAACAGTCTCACCTGGGTAAAATAATGTGCCATTTTCTAAATTGGTAGCTGAGGTAGTTTGGAGAGAGTAAATATTTTAATGAGGAGCAGTAGTTCCGGAAGGAGAGGTCTGGGTAAAGTGTTGAAATATGGAAATTAGGATTGCACTGTCAGGCCAGCTGGGTGGCTGTTCTGACTTGGTTTAGGCTGTCCCCCAGAGTCAAATAACTCGGATTAACAACAACAAAAAAAGTTACACTTCTTTCTGGCTTACTATGTTGTAAAACCTTCTGTTCTGGAAACAGAATGTTACCTTGATGGGTTTATAATATGGATTGAAGCTGTGAAAGTTCACACTCCAGCTTTCAACATGAAGGGATAAAGTGTTAGTTTCAGGTGAAAGAGGCTGTTTATTATATGCAAATGTTAGTATCGCAGGGAAAATGAAGCAAGGAAATAACATGCATTTAAAATCTGAAAGACTGTTTAACCTCCTTCAGCCCTCACTTTAAAGAGTAGGCAGTTTAAATCTCTATACCACTTTCTCCTTGGAAATTTTTCCTTCGATGGGCTCTTCTGGCTGTTCCATTGCTTGAGTCTCCTTTTCTGTCTCCTTGGCTGACTCATCCTTGTGTTGGTGGCCCTCAGGCACCCTTGGCTCATTTCTATCTTTCCTCATTCCTCTGAGTGATCTTGTATTCGTTTTCCATTGCCGCCATATTGAGTGGCCCTGAATGTGGCTTAAAGCAACCCAGACTCATTACCTTAACAGTTACGTAAGTCAGAAGTCTGACACGGTCTCATTGAGCTAAAATCAGATTATCAACAGGGCTGCATTTCTTTCTGGAGATTCTAGAAGAGAGTCTGTTTCCTTCCCATTTATGTCTCCTAGAGGCTGCCCGCATTCCTTGGCTCGTGGCCCCTTCAAAGCTGGCAATGTTGTACCTTAGACTTTTCTTCCATTGTTACATCTATGATCACAGACAGGAAAGGGTCTCTGGTATTGTGTCCACGTGATTACATGGAACTTACCTAGACAATCCAGACTACTCTTCCCCATCAAGGTCTTTTAGCCTTAACTACATCTACAAAATCCCTTTTGCTAGTACGGTAATATTCACAGGTGCCAGGGATTAGGATGTAGACATCTTTGGGGGCCTTCTGCAGATCTCAAACACTGTCATGCTGGTACTATTATCATGGGGTGAGGACTTTTTTGAAACTTGGAAATTTATGGAAAATGAATCATTGGCAGTAGTAGAGGGAATAGTACCCTGTCCTGGCCCAAACAGCCTAGGACCACCAGGAACAAACCTGTAGTTTGACAAAATCGGATTTATTAACTCATTGTAACAAAGGAGGCACACATCAGAGGAACAACGGGGTGTCTCACTAAACAGGCAAAGAGAAAGTTACAGGATTTAGGGAAAGGAAAGCATTTCAGTAAAATTTAAATGCAGCAGTGTTTTTGATTGGCTCAAAGCAAAGCGGGAGTCAACATCTGGTCTGAACTTCACAGCAAACCCAGGTTCATTTCTTTTGAAAGTACAAAGTTAGGATAAATGTGGAATATTGTGTTCAGAAACCCCTTATGTGAAGCTCTGAACCTGGGCTGCAAATCAAGACTGCTTCTCTGTCAAAGTGACTTAGATCCTCCTGGCAACAGAAGGGTGTTTTATTTTTACTGATAAAATTTCAAACAGCAAAGTTTCTGTGGTCTATCATTTTAGAGAACAAGGTTTCTCAGTGAGTCAGAAAGCAGTAGTCACGCAAAGAAGGGGGCGGTTATGACACTTCAGCTGCAGCATGCCCTTGGGAGGAATATTGTTTCATGGTAACTTTGTACCTATGTCGGTCCTCTCAGCCTGATGAATGTCAGGGTTTTTTCTTAGTCTGAGCTAATTTTTTACTTTCTCACCCACTTCATTTATCTACTCATAGCCAGTTTTGTTTCACCTATACCCTACCCACCACTGTCATTATTTTGAAGCAGATCCCAGACAGGAGATGACTTTTAAAGCTAGAGCTATATTCACCAGTGGATATCATTACCTGGATATCCCTTAGGCTCAGTGTGTACGGAACAGCGTTCTCATCCCACCACCCCCACTTAAGCCAACAAAGCCCGTTTGTCCTGCTCCTCCATTTTCCCAGTTGGCCACATTTGAAGCCTTGGAGTCATCATTGCCCTTCTACCTCGCCTTGCACCCTTTCTCAACAAAT